CTGTCTACACGGAGCGGCAGGGCTACTTCCCTGCCGCTCTGCTCACCGCTCTCCATACTGAAGACGGCAGCGGCGAGGACGCAGCATGGAGAGAGGTAAGGGGAGGGAGGGGGGCAGCGGGGGGGAGGACGGACCTGCAGTCTAATTACAAGTGATCTCTGCGACATCGGTGGCCTTGCCGGGAATCCGGCCCTGAGAACAGGACAACCTGTGACTAAAGAAATGTGGAAAAGGGAACCTTCTCATTTCTGGACATTGGCAGAACCCTATGACGCTCCAGCAGTTGCCTTTTCCTATATAAATTGATCCTTTCAATGGCACCCCTTTGGGTGGGAAGTTGCAGAGTAAGTAAGAGTCATCTTCCAAACTGGGGACCACCAAGCAGGAGCTCTGATTCCCTACAGCAGCCTGGTCCCATCACTCCGTGTATCTCAGGAGCTTCTGTGGGACTTTCATCTACAACAGGTGCCTTGGCGCGGCAGTGCGGCTTACACATCCTTTGCAGAAGACGTGTATCCAAACCTCTGTCATTGTCCTTAGTGGTGAGACAAGTTGTTTTACATGCTGGTTTGTGAGTGTGCCATGATGCCTTTCTACTGTACCACTTTCATCTACAACTGTCCCACCACTGGTTTTCTGCTTGTAGTGAATGGTAGACTCTGCGCCATTTTTGTAATGGATGGAGGACACTTCAACCACAACTAGGTCTAGAGACAAGAATGTCAGAGGCATCACATGCTGCCGAAGGGGTTTAGTCGCTGTTCCTGTTTGTTCCTTCGCATCATTAAGCCAGAGAGAAATGAAAACTTGACCGTGGTTCTGAAATTTCTTCACTTCGTGAACACCTACAAAAGTTACGGCTGGAGTTGGCAAACTAGTGCAGTGGAATTTTTAGCCTACTTGCAAACCATTAGATGAAAGATTTAGTTATTACCCGTTGATCCCGCCAGTAGATCTGTTATTTTCTCATTTCCTGTAACGGGCCAAGCTGTCCAGTCACAGTTCAGTCATACCTCCCAACTGTCCCTCATTTGGAGGGACTGTCCCTCTGTGTCCCTTGTGCTTTGGAGTGCCATTGAAATGAATGACAACGCACAAGCACCCCTAGCATGCTGTGCATTGCACTGTGCAGGAGCTTGCGCTAAACACACAGGTATCATCACTTTTTATTTTGCCCAGAGTTCCCTTTTTATTGTGTTCTTCCTCCATTGGATGTATTGTATGGCTAGGCATGTATCTAAAGATCGTCGTATGGTTTTCTAAAGCAGTACAAGACGATCCTAATTTTAGCTATCGGGAGCTGGCCTGCCTTGTCACTTTTTCATTCCATGCTGCGGAAAGAGCAACAATCCTGCTAAAAATAAAATAAAACAGAGATTGGAGTGTGAATCAGACGTCGGCTACAAACGGGAATGTTAAAGGGAACTGGCCGGGACAGAAACTGCCATTGCTGATCATCCTCATCCTTCCCTGATCCCTAGTGAGTCACCGTCCTGCAGGCAGCCAGAATGACGGGACACCTAATGCGCACGTAATCCTTCTGGGTCAGTGAAGAAAGGATTTAGATGTTTGGTGACAGTAGTAGCTAAGTAGTGAAGCAAGGACAAGGATGACATTGCCAGAGCTCGCACCTTCGAAAACAAGTGAGCGCTGGTTCTTAGTGAAGATGTCCACAATTACCAATGATGCTGTGCAGCCCAGCTTTTAGCGTCCCCATTACCAATGATGGTGTGCAGCCCAGCTTTTAGCGTTCCCATTACCAATGATGGTGTGCAGCCCAGCTTTTAGCGTCCCCATTACCAATGATGGTGTGCAGCCCAGCTTTTAGCGTTCCCATTACCATTGATTGTGTGCGGCCCAGCTTCTAGCGTCCCAATAACCAGTGCCGCTTTGTGGCCCAGCTGCTAGCAACCCAATGACCAGTGATGCTGTGCGGCCCAGCTTCTAGGGTGCCAATGACCAATGGTGCTGTGCGGCCCAGCTTCTAGGATCCCAATGACCAATGGTGCTGTGCGGCCCAGCTTCTAGGATCCCAATGACCAATGGTGCTGTGCGGCCCAGCTTCTAGGGTCCCAATGACCAATGGTGCTGTGCAGCCCAGCTGCTAGCATCTCAGTAACCAATGACACTGTGCGGCCCAGCTGCTAGCATCTCAGTAACCAATGATGCTGTGCCGCCCAGCTTCTAGCGTCCCAATAACCAATGAGGCTGTGCGACCCAGCTGCTAGTGTCTCCGTAACCAATGATGCTGTGTGGACTAGATGGTTCAGGTCGCTTAGACGTTCATCAAACGCTTTTCCAGACAGTTTTCTGGCTAGGTTAGGCAAACGTCCAAGTGAACCAAACCCAGGCGTGATTGTTCATCACTATTGATCAG